ACCTTATGGGAAAATTTGATTCGGGTCACAACCAATTCGGGTCGTGACCAGAGTCGCGGAATGAATTAAGTTCGTGACCCGAGATACCACTGTAATGTGTAAGTAATGGTAGATGTGAGGAAAAGAAACCTTTGAAACATCCAACATGTATTCATTTAAACTGTAATGAACTCTAATAATCATTTTCCTTCAGGTACAAAACAGTGGGCCCCCGTATCAGCTGCATCCAGTGGGGGTAGCCCGGGTCCCCGACATGGTCATTCTGCTGTGGTTTATGGCAATGGCATGTACTTGTTTGGAGGGTTAATGAAACTGACTGAGCAGAAGGACTTCTGGATGTGGGATTTCATAGCCACCAACTGGTCTAGTATCAGGAAAAGGTAACTATTTGAAAATTTTTCACTAGCAGTTGCAAAAGGAGTTTGATTAAGGGGAGTAGATAAAACTGTGTTTCCCCCCCCCCCATCAATTGTTCCTAGAGCAGTATTTATATTACACAGAACAGCAAGCCAAACCTGTATAGGCCTATAAGGACTGGGCTCTACAGATGTCAGCTGGGATCTACAGATGTCTCCATACCAGTTGAAAACCAGGAAAGGATTGCCTGTGGGGGACTGAGCGCTGTGGAAAGGCACAAGCAGGAAAAACCCTGATAGGTCAAGTTCCCAATGTAGGGACCTTTGGAAGGAGTATCCATTTTCCTAGAAGCAAATGCTTTTGATTACATAGTTCATTCTATTTATTTGGGCCATTGTTCAATTATGAATGGATAGTGCTTGCATTTTGAAAAAAAAATACTGAAGTGACAGAAGAATCATAATAGAATCATAGTTATGATATGAATCATAATTGTAATATGAATCATAATCATAACTGCATAGAGAAGACAATTTAAGGAGCATGGAAAATATTCCCATGCAGTTTAACAATACCTGAATACATAATTTGAGGGAACTGTGTGGAGTGGACTCTAGAAAGCGGTTCATGACTTTTCCATGCATTACCCTGACTGAAGAGAAGCCCATTTTTATGAGTATAAGCGACCTCTTGCCTTGTGCTGATTTCTTTCTGTTGTGTTTGTGTCCAGCCAGGGGCCCCCAAGAGTGGTGGGCCATTCTGCTTTAATCTTTGAAGATTCCATGCTAGTCCTTGGTGGAGGCATTTCTAGCACTAAGCCAAGTAGTACTTTGTGGCAGTATCATTTTCCATCTCAAATGTGGAAAAAACTGCCTAGCCCAATGGCGCTTTCATCCAAAGCATATCATCACATGCTAGGAACTGGATTTGGTTTCCAAGGGGCTGCTGATTCTCTGCTGAGATCACCTGGCTGCTTGAATTCTAAAGAAAAGGGTTGTTCAAAGTTACTGGCTCTTTCTAAACAGCATGTCTGCTTCTGTGAGCATCTTCACAGGGAGCCTACATACCAGATACTCAACAATGAGGGTGCCTCTGAAATAGAAATGAAAACTTTTTGCCAGTCTTCAGAGAAGCTAGGATTCTCTTCATATCAAACCACTTCCAGTGCAGAATTGAATTCGGATCCAGCAGCAGAGTTGCTGTGTAAAGAAAGAACCTCGTATCTCAGCATCTCCAAGGAACAGGAGTTTGCCACCATGGATCTAACAGCTGGAGGGTCATGCTTAGGCTTGCTGAAAAATGAATATGGGGATGTTTGTGAATCCTCTGTTGTGATGCTACTTGTTGGAGGTAAACCTCTGTCCAGTTCCTCTGCAATCTCATTTTGGCAACTGGAACTAAACAGAACGTAAATGGCAGACCACTTAGAGACAGAAGACACATCCAGACTCAGTGAAATCAGTGTCTAGGAAGAATCACCGGACAGTTCTTGCTTACAATTGTATCATGAAACCTAAATTCACACTTTTTTGTGTGACCACAAAGTATTTGGGACTCCATAAAACATTTTACTAGGAAAATCTTTTCAGCTCTTTGCAGCTGTGCTCTGTAGACAACTTGGACCTGCACATGGAGATGAGCCAGTGTGGTTACAGAGCAGCAACAGCAGCCATTGGTTGCATTCATTTTTTTTTCTTTTTTTGTGTGCCATTTCAAAGCCCTTCACAAACTATCTGCATCACTCCTACAAGGACCCCAAGATAATTCCCGTGACTAAGATAGGGTTAGGTAATTCAGTTCAGTGGCTGTGTTGGCATGACAGGCTTACATGCTTACCCAAGGAAAACTTAAACTTGACCATCACTTATTCAGCAAACCCAATATTCTGGAACTGCACAATGTAAACTAGTCTTGTGGATTCCAGTATATGTTAGACTAACAACTGTTTGGCTACTTAACATGCTAACACAGTTAGGGGCTTGCTCTGAATATATTCTTGAATTTGCAGTTGAGATATTTGAAGCGGAGCTTTTCTTAGCAAATGCTCAGCCATCATGCTACACTATTTAAAACTGCATCATTGCTAAACATGAAATCCATCAGGCTTCTATATTAGTCCCTCTGACCCAAGTTAAAATGCCAGGGCCATATAATCTGCTAGATCTATAAAAGAGTCATTGGGCCTGTTCCAGCACAGTTCAGAAAGTTTTAATTCATGTGAAGTAGGGTTCTCCAGTTGCTATGGCAGCTTTTCCCTGGCCCCACTACTCCAGAGAGTAGTGGCATGCAGGTAATTACTTCTACATTAACTGGAGGGAAGCACGTGATGTGCACGGAAGTGCTCCCTCCCCCACTTGGAAGAGGCCTGGAAATAGATTTGGATCAGGATTCTTGATCACTAATAGGTTTATAAACATATTCATCCAGATACTCTGGCCATACCTGTTTATAGTTTTATGCTAAATATCACATAGCTTTCTAGAAGCAGCTGGATGCATAGTAGGAATGAGGCTTGTGTACATGCCAAGATCTCCCCATTTGTGGCTTGCTTGGGTGAGGGCAAAAATGTTTTATTAGACTAGAATTGACCCAGCATTTTCTTTCCCTAAGCTGTGCAGTAAGAAGCTTTGCTTCTTTTGTTGTGGGTGTGTTTTTTCCTTTCTTTTGTGGGGGGTTATTAAAACCTACCAATTTGCAGTATTCCATGCACGTGTGATGAATGAAGTCAGCCTAAGGCCTTTTTCCTAATATCCTCTTATTGGCTCCCCTACCAGCTATGCAACCACTGTTCTAGAAAATGCAAACATAGCTGGGCATTACATCACATAGGAATTGCTTGATGTCCTTCAGTGATGCTTTTTGTGTTGTTTTCTGTGAAGTTCATGTTCCCAAGAACGCCTAGGCATGTTTTATTGTTTCCAAAATCCTATCAGACAGGATTTTGGCAAACAGCCAACTGTACAGAGAAGTTTGGAATTGAGGGTAGAACATGGATGGTCAACCTCTCATGTAAGTCCAGGGAGAGGCACTTTTGTGCAGAGTAGGAAGGGGATAGTAATCTTCAGCTGGCCAAATATTTTACTGATTTAATGTTTTCAGTAAAGGTTTACCAAATGTAAAGGTCCCCACTGGGTTGATCTTCACTCTGTGTCATTCCATGGACAGGTCTATGTAGTTTCCCTGGCAAGCATATACAAGGGGTTTGTCACTTTTTTTCCTCCTTCTTGCCCTAGCCCTGGGATTTTCCAGGAGTCCCCCATCTGGATTCACTCTGCTTAACATTTTGGAAATCAGCAAAATCATTAAGCATTTGCTCATTTTTATTTTGCCATCACAGTGCTGCCAGAAGTGATTTTGCTGATACTCACTGAACTGCAGTCTGTATGAAATATGTTATACAATGAGAAAACAATCCCTTTAAGTTACCCTTTCTTAATTTTTGAGAGAGAAAATTGTGAAGTACATAGGAGCAGGGAAAGCCTGCACTGTGCCTTTTTGATACTGCTTTTTCATTTAAGAAAATGGCTGTTTTGTATGCTATAAAAGTAGCTATGTTTATTAATTATAATTGTATTTTATATCTTATGAATTCTTACACTAAAACTAAACTATATTAGTTTAATTATGTATATGTTATTTTCTGTCCTTTAAATTGCTTTGTTAAAAATAATGTATTTTTGATTCTTTAATGGTGGCATATTGAGAAAAAGCCAAAAATATATGCTCATTGAATGATTTGCAGCTTGGCTGGGGATTACTGAAGACTTGATATGTTGTAAGACACATTTCCTGTAGCACTACAGCTGGGAAACAAGATCTACTCTTCATTTGCATGCTGACTGTTCCCATTAGGGATGAAAAGTCAAATATACTGCATTTGAAAACAACTTGTCAGGCTCTGAAATAAAATACCAACCCTAATTCTAGGTCTGCAGTATATTATTTATCAGTGAAGAATTTTACCTTCCCTTTCTCTACTTACTGCAACTATTTTTGTTAACATTCACTTACGCTATCCCCAGGATGCAGAGATGTGTGGTCTCTTCTGTGAAAAGCAGGATGTTACCCCAAACACGGATATCCTCATGGAAGCAGAGGATTTTGTCAGCATTCGGAAATATGTCAATAAGCATCCCCTAATGCTACAGCATTGTTCTGCTAGAAGAAAAATACTTAAGCAGACACTTTGCACAATTGTGTTGTATTTAGAAATAAGCTACAGCTTTATGACTGATTCCAAGTGGTCTACAAATCACAGTTGTTGTTCCCTTGTACAATGTTTAACACAATCATTCTAGCACAATTTTTACATCTGCCATTACTTATTATATATATATACACACACAAAATACTTAAAAAAATAAGTTATACTTTGAGCAACTACATCATTTAAAAAGTTACGGATACAGTAGTTAGTCTGAGTTTTTTAAAAAAACAACTCAAAATAGTTCTTACATACTTCATAGTAAGTTTGTCAAATTAGGGAAAACATGAGAACAAAGGAATCTGTAATCAAAACATTAATCACAGTAGGAATGTTATGGCAGAATGCTCTGTAGTCACTCCACATGCATTCTGTTTCACAGAGAACAGGTGAAAATTTTGCTTCAAGAGGAATGTTAATGCTTAGTGTTAATACCAGAGCTCCAAGCTGTTCTGCCTTAATAATCACAGAAGCTTTAGTTATGGAGCAACAAGGCATGTTACACTTGGGGTGTCTTTGTCCCACGCCACGCCACATGAGACGTGAAGAAACAGACAAATCTGCATGACTTTCAGCTTCATGCATGCATGCAATTTGCATTTGTAGCAATGACTTCATAATTAACCTTACTGTAAGCTGGAAGAAAGGCTTCAGCAGTCAAACAGGATTGTCATTAAAAATATGAACTAACCTAAGCATATGCAGGCAATGTAACTAGTGAAGAACGGCCGCTATAAACACAAAATGCAATTTTGCATCCATTAGTCAAAGCAAAAGGATCTGCTGTTTTGGTCCATTTTAATCAACCTCAATAGACACTGAGGCAGTTTCCAGCTGCCCCACGAGATGCCTGAAGTTATCACCCCCCTGCACTGGAGGCTATTCTATTCATGAAAGGCTTTAAGTTCTTTATGTAACATCTATAATTCTATGTCTTTTTGTACATATCTGCCAAGAGAACTTTATCCACTGATAAATCTGATGCCAATAACAATAGTATTCCATTTTCCATACCACAACAATTTCCTTTTTTATGAATATAGGTTATGTGTTGTAGGCTATTCCGTCAATTAAATGAGTAAGTATCAGGTCAGTTAATATATTGCCAAACAAGGCAGTAATACTGTAATCTAAGAGCAATTCCTGATCATTTCAAAAGAGCAAAATTGAGAACGAACTCTCTCTTAATTTCTTTTGTTTTTGTCACAGCAGTACATCAGGTTAGTAAAATAAAATAACCACCATTGGATTTTTTTAAAAAATGGTCACGCAGCATTCTACAAAGTGGTGAGGATTATCCAGGCAATTCAAGATAGTGAAGCTGACTTTCTGGATAATAGTCAAACAGCATCACATTCTTCCCTTCTCCGACCTCCTCCTTTTTAATCATTCCTACATCCTCAAGAACTAAGTGTCATCTTAAATATACTCATCCCTTATAAAAATACTGGCAAGATTCATGAGAGCAGTAGGTTTACCTTAGCTCACAGAAATGTCTGAGAAATCATTACTATCAGCAATTAAATGTTATCTAAACTATTTCAAAATTCAGGCCTCCTGAGGTCTGGTAATCAGGGTACGTCCTACAGCTACTGATGCTAAGTTACTCGCATCAGTAATCTCCCCCTCTCCCCCATCCTGGTTCCCATTACAACATCTGTTTTATGAAGAAATTGCTTAAAGCAGTACTGCAGATCAAAGCAAAGCAGCCTGTGTTATTTCACAAGCAGCAATGGCTATGAAAGAAAGTATGCACAGTGGAGTGTCGTACGCGCCTTGTTTCCATTTTTAACATCACTTCCACTACGAAAGCAAGCTTTTGATGGGTCCCATTCACTTTTCCTTTCAGAGCTCATCCAGAAATTCATGATACAAAAGTTTCTTTGCTTTCTTGCCTAAATGCTTATAGATCTTTCATCAGAAACAGATGTAAAAGTAATAGATCACGTTTTAAAATAACTTACTTTAGAACTTGGTACTTCACTAACGGACAGCAAGCAGAGCTGTTTGGAGGAATCAGAATTAAGGCATTCTACAATTTTCTTGCTTATTTTGAAAAGAGGCAGAAGCAGCAGGTTGACTTTGATACCTGACCCACGAAAATAAATATTAAGTGTTCAAGCCCAGTTTTTCTTTTCATTTTCTGTTTTCAAAAATTCTAAGTATAAGTGAAACTCAGGATTCACTTAGTATTTTTCCTGAGTTTGTAACAGAAAATAGTTTTACTACTGGTCCAAACCAATCAGCAGTTTTGTGCACAAAAGAAGGAATCCTGTATATAAATGTCTAGTAATCTAATATAGGAAAGTTGGTGTAACGTTGGCATATTTTGTTTTCATTTTCCAGTCATGCACAATATACATATTCCAACTACAACATCACTTAGTAGACTTGAAGAAATGTATAGAATGGAGCACACAAAAAGGACAGTAATTCTAATTGTATGTATTTGAACCAATTTTAAAAGCCTCAGATTATTTCTGCACAAGCCTTAGAACTTTCCAAAAGGTAGCTAATGGCAAGCCCAAAGAAAACTTGCCCATCAAGCTAATCTACCAGAAACTAGGTTGACTGTCTACCTAGCAGTATTTTAGTGACCTTTTACACTGAATGGAACAAAATGTGAAAAGTCTTCTGTCCACACATAATAGTAGCCTTGACGTGCTTAACAGAACATTGTTTCTTTCCTTATGAGAGCATCTGCCAGCAGAATAAATTGCTATCAAGGTGCTGCATTTTTACTAACAATAGCAAGGTGCAGAGTCTAGAAACAAGATTCATGTCAAGAACATTTGTTAGATAACAGTACAAAAAAAGATGGCCACAAAAAAGCACTGTAAAAAAGTCCCTGCTATTTGCTTTTACAGTAGCCACCAGCTTTCCCGTTATTGGGTTTAAGCCAAAACATACAAGATTCATGTCAAGAACATTTGTTAGATAACAGTACAAAAAAAGATGGCCACAAAAAAGCACTGTAAAAAAGTCCCTGCTATTTGCTTTTACAGTAGCCACCAGCTTTCCCGTTATTGGGTTTAAGCCAAAACATAAACAAAAACCCCCCCCAAACTTAACCAGCTCATCTCTGTGAGTAGTTTCATTTGCACCTATAAAGCAGCAAGGAATTCTCTAGCAAAAGC